TCCAACAGAGTATCTTAGGTTTTTATTTTGTTAGTTATATTTGTAAATAACATTTGTTGAGATTTTATAAAATTTTTGAAGTTTTACTCTTGGTCTTCAGTTTTGGTTTCGAATTGCTCTTTTATTGTAAGTGAATGACTTCGGATAGAGTAACTTTATTTAACACAAGGTTCTGATCTCGAGCCAAGGAACTGACCTTGGATATATAAGAGACGGACTTCAAATATAGAAATGAGTAAATCACTTCAAATGTAAGTGTAATCATAACCCAACAAATGAATTGATTGAATAAGTCATAATGAAAGGACTGAATCACTTCGAATGTGAAGTGAAGTTCATTAACGATGTAAAGGAATTGAGTTCGGACAATGAATATAAAAATGAGACAAAGTTTACTGGAAAGAGATGCATTAAGGATAGAATTTCTTCAAATTATTGACATTCCAGACTCTAGGAACCCGTTTTCCTTCAGTGTCCCGTAGGATATAAGCACCTGGGTGCAGCACTTCGGCGACAGTGTAGGGGCTTTCCTAGTTTGGTGCCAATTTGCCAAATCGAGTTTCGAACCCCGTCAGACCTGCTTTCCTGAGAACAAGGTCTCCTACTTTGAATGTTCGGGGTCGAACTCGTTTATTGTAGAAGTTTTCTATTTTCTGCTTGTAGACTAGAGTTCGAAGTCGTGCTTCTTCTCTAATGTCATCAAGCAAATCAAGGTTCTCCCGAAGCAGTTGTCCATTCCGTCCTTCATCGAAATGGGTGACTCTGAAGCTTGGAACTCCAATCTCGACAGGAATGACTGCTTCGGTACCAAAAGCCAGATGATAAGGTGTTTCACCTATTTCAATGGATTATAATTTTAGATTGCGCTTTACACGTTATGCATATTTGCTCTAAGGTAAAACCGTAGCAGAAAAAGTAAAATGATGTAAAATTAATCAAATAGGCCAGGTGTAGAGTAATACCTGTGGCAGTTCGACTTGTAGTTCTGTATGCCCAGAGGACGTTGTTGAGCTCATCTGCCCACTTGGCCTTGTGTTGTTCTAGCCTCGGCTTTATACCTTCTAAGATGCACTTGTTAACAGATTCGACCATACTGTTGGACTCCGGATGGTAAACCGAGGTGAACTGTAGTTTAATCCCGTAACTGGAACAGAAATCTCGAAAAGAGGTGCAGTTAAATTGAGTTCCATTATCAGCCACAATTTGATTCGGGATCCCATATCTGCAGATGATTGAGCTGAAAACAAAGTCTTCAACCTTCTTAGAAGTAAGACTGGACAACGGCCGAGCTTCAACCCACTTTGTGAAATAATCTACACCGACAATCAAGTGGGTTACACCACCAACCCCCTTCACGAATGGGCCCAAAAGATCCAATCCCCACTGAGCAAATGGCCATGGTGCCACTAGAGTAGTGAGCTCTTCTGCAGGCTGATGAGTCAGGTGCGCAAAGAACTGACATTTCAAGCATCTCTGAACAAAGTGAGTGGCATCCTTGTACATGTTGGGCCAATAATAACCCTGTCTAAGGACTTTATGAGCCAAAGTTCGAGCACCTACGTGACTTCCGCAGACACCTTCGTGCACCTCCCTGAGTGCATATTCTGCTTCATAGGGATTCAAGCACCGTAGAAGAGGTAGAGAGAAAGATCGCTTATAGAGGACCCCATCAATAAGTGTATATCGGGATGCTTTTCTCCTCAACTTCATTGCCTCCTGCCTGTCCTCGGGTAATATCCCATCTCGTAAGAAGGAGAGGATTGGGTCAATCCAGTTTGGTGTGCCGGGGTCGGTGCTGATCTCCATCACTCGTGACTTCATGAAGCTTGGTTCATCTAAGACCTCCACAAAAACTGATCTAGAATGTGAAGAACTATCAGAGGCGAATTTAGAGAGTGAATCTGCCTGTTCATTCTCAGTTCGGGGGATTTTACTCAAACAGAATTTCTGGAATTTGCACTTCAGCTCGGCCACCAGAGCTACATATTTTACCATCACAGGATCAACAACTTCGCAGATTGAGTTAATTTGGTTCACCACCAGCTGGGAGTCACTATATACTTGGATCGCACTGAGTTTTAATTCCAATGCTAGCTGCAGACCAAGTAGCAGGGCTTCATACTCAGCCATGTTGTTTGTTGCATCGAAGTTAAATTTCAAGGCATGTTCACTTCGGTATCCATCTGGGCCGATCAAGAGGGCACCAGCTCCTGAACCTTTGCTACTAGACGCCCCATCAACATATAAGGTCCAGTCATTGGGCTCCGGAGTAGGAATGGAATTACCTGGAGTGCATTCTACAATAAAATCTGCCAATGCCTAAGCTCGGATTGCAGATCTCTGCTGAAATGTTATCTCAAATTTCCCCAGTTCTACTGCCCACTTAATTAATCTTCCAGAACACTCATGCTTTTGCAGAATCTGCCGAAGGGGTTGGTCTGTAAGAATAATGATCGGGTGCGACTGGAAGTATGGCCTCAACTTTCTGGCCGAATGGACAACTGCTAAGGCTGCTTTTTCAGCTATAGAATACCTCGGCTCAGCTCCATGCAGCACACTGCTGATATAATATATTGGTTTCTGCTGCTTGGCTTCTTCTCTTACCAGAACCGAACTAATGGCTTCATCTGAAATTCCCAGATATAAATAGAGGATTTCTCCATCTTTGGCTTTAGTCAGTAGAGGTGGTGAGCTAAGATAAGACTTCAGCTCGTCAAATGTGACTTGGCATTCTTGAGTCCATTCAAACTTCTTCTGTTTGCCCGATTCATCCTTCTGGGCAACTGACCTCATAATCTTGAAAAATGGTAGGCACTTATCTGTTGACTTCGATATAAACCGATGAAGAGCTGCTACCCTTCCAGTCAACCTCTGTATGTCCTTCACTGACTTCGGCGGTTCCATTTCGGCAATTGCTTTGATCTTCTCGGGGTTAACCTCGATTCCCCTCCTGGACACCATGAAGCCTAAAACTTTCCAAACTCCACGCCAAAGATGCACTTTGCTGGATTTAGCCTCATTCTGTTCTTTTTGAGGTTGTTGAATGTCTCCTCAAGGTCGGTTAAGTGATCGTCAGCTTTCAAACTCTTTATCACTATATCATCAACATAAACTTCCAGATTCCGTTCTATCTGAGCTCGGAATACGATGGTAACCATCTTCTGGTAAGTGGCACCTGCGTTCTTCAAGCCGAAGGGCATCATTACATAGCAATAGATCTCATCGCCGGTATAGAACGAGGTTTTTTCTTCATCCTCGGAAGCCATTGGGACCTGGTGGTAGCCTGAGTATGCATCCAAGAGACTTAATCTCTCATTTCCCGAAGCTGCCTCAACCAGCTTATCAATGTTTGTCATTGGATAACAGTCCTTTGGACATGCATCGTTAAGGTTAGTGTAATCAATGCACATCCGCCATTTACCGTTTGCTTTTTTCACCAACACCGGATTGGCAACCCACTCACAGTAATCTACCCTTCTGATAAAGCCGGCTTGTAGGAGTTTCTCGACTTCTTCTTTAATAACCTTTAACCTCTCCCCCCCGAAGAGGCATCGCTTCTGGGCTACTGGTTTCTTGAGGGGATTGGTGCTGAGTTTGTGTTGGAAAACTGAAGTGGGAATTCCCGGCATATCTGCTGAAGTCCATGCAAAAATATCTTTATTGGCCCGAAAAAAAGCTATTAGCTCTGCTCTTTCCTCGGGGTTCAATTTAGTCCCAATTTGTGTTTTCCGGCTCGGATCTCTGTCATCAATCTGTACCTCCTCGACATCTTCGACTGAAGCAGCTCAGGTTTCATCTTCTGGTCGGTTATCTACTATCTCAACACCCATAACTTGCCGATCGTCAGGAATCCGTTTGGGATTGACCTCCGGTGCCTGGTCTTTTCCCTTCTGAGGTTGCGTGACCGAGGTGATATAGCAATGTCGGGCTACCTCCTGGTTGCCTCGTAGCGTCGCTATTCCCGTAGGAGTTGGGAATTTCATGCAGAGGTGAGACTGGGAAACCACAGCTCGGATTTCAGTCAGTGTAGGTCGGCCAATGACAGCATTGAAAAAGGATGCCATCTTGACTACTAAAAACCTCACGGAAGGGGTCACATAACTTCGGCCACTTCCGAATGCAACATTCATGGTCAGGACTCCTTCAACTGGAACTGGTTGGTTATTGAACCCGTAGATGGGACCATCATACCGCTGCAACAGAGCTGGATCTAACCCAAGACTCTCAAAACAATGGAAGTACATGATGTCTGGTGCACTCCCTGTGTCAACAAGGACACGGTGCACCTCACAATTGTTGATTGTGACAGAAGTGACTAGAGGATCATTGTGAGGTGTGACAACTGTTTCAAGATCAACAGACGTGAAAGTGATGGGTTGATTCTTCCACTCAGCATCGTCAAATTTTCACTTCTGAGCTCGGTTCTGATGCTTAACCTCTCTGACATACAGCTTTCGCTGCTTAGAGCTCAGTCCACCGGCTTCCAGACCTCCCGTAATCATGTGTATGACTCTAGCTGGTGGTGGGAGTGGGGGTGGGGCTTGCTAATATCCCACACCTTGTCTGTTTGGGGGATTGCAGATTGCTTGATGCTGTGGCCCTTGTTCGCTGACAAACCTTGGCTATTCCACTCTCTGGATGTACTCATTCAACATTCCTTTCTGTGCCAGACTTTCCAGTTCGGACCTCAGACTATTACATTGCTCTGTTGTATGACCGTGATCCTGATGAAAATCACAGTACCTAGTATGGTCTCTGGTAGCAGCAGCAGTTCTCATTGGACCCGGACGTCGTAAGTCCATTTTATTCTTAATCTGCATAAAAATTTGTGACCTCGGCAAATTAAAAGGAGTCCAATTAACTAGAGGTTTACCTGCAGGTTGTTGCGGAGGTGCTGAGTTCGGCCTTCCGAATCTCGGGGTGGAAGTCGACATCGGACCTCGGTTCTGTGTTGTCTTTATCCGTTTCCTGTTCGGATTCTCATCTCTCCAGTCCGAGTGTTGGCTCTTAATAGGAGTTAGGTGCTGCGACAGGGCATATTCCTCAACCGTTATGAATTTCAACGATCTATCGTTTACCTCGCTGAAGGTGTTGGCAGGATGTTTGAGCAAACTATCTCGGAATCTCTCATGGCTAAGACCTGAGATCACAGCTGTAATTCCCACAGCTTGGTCGAAAGAGTTAACCTCTAGTACTACATCATTGAATCTGCTCATAAAATTCTTCAAAGACTCTCCGTCCCTCTGCTTAACTCGCATCAGCTCAGAAGTGGTTTTCCTGATCAACCTTCTACTAGAAAACTTTGTGGCAAAAGCAGATGCCAGCTCTGTGTATGAGTTGATTGACCTCGAAGGCAGACTGTAATACCAGGTTCGAGCATTACCTCGGAGGGTAGAGGGAAAGATTTTGCACATTAACGCATCAGAGGCGTTCTGGGCCTGCATGCAAGAGTAGAAAGCATGTAGATGATCATCGGGGTCCTTCGTCCCATCATAAGTTTCAAGCTGTGGTATTCGGAAGCCAGCGGAGTAGGGTTCCAGTATAATATTGGTGTTGAGAGGGTGAGGTACGGAGTCAGCAGCAGGGTGTGAAGGTGGGATACCTCGTTGTTCGACCACTAGCTTTTCTAAGCTATCTAAACGTCGAGTGACATCATCACGAGGGGGTTGCATAACTGGTGCGATGTGAGATTGGCCCTGAGATTCATTAACAGCGGGAGCATGTTGAACTGGGTCCTGATTTTGTGGTGGGGCTGGAGGCTGTGGAGCAGGATTAAGTAGGTTGATGAGTGGATCACCAGGATTGTTCCGGGCTAATAACTGAGCCAGCACTAGCTGAAAAACACCAAACTGCTGTTGCATGGCAGCGAGCTGAGTTGCGACTACGTCTTGGTTAGCAGTAAAGGCTGAGTTGCTAACCGAATTGTGTGGTTGATTTTCGTCTTCTCCTTCTGCATGATCAACAGGAGGGATCGTATTTGGAATTGGGGGTGGGGGATGAGGCGGAAGGTTGCTGGGAACCTGGCCTTGTCCAAGAGGCTGAGACGAGTTTCCACCTCGGGCTGACCTAGTTTTCACCATGATAAGAGCAACAAAGGAGCCTTTAGTTCAGTTTCCCACAGATGGCGCCAAAATGTAACTGCACCAAACCAGAAGTCCTTCTTCAGTCCACGTCTTCACTTCGGACGAACCTGCAAAGCCCCGAGACGGATCTCGGGGTAGACACTCC